GGTGGCTTCTTGTCCAGGTGACACCTTCTGACGTCCCGATGGGGGAAGAATCCCCTCGCTGGAATCTGAGTCGTCTGAATTGGAATCACTGGTGCCACTGAAGCTGGTGTCAGAGCTGTCGCTGGTGGAACTTGCAGAGTTTTCCTCTCCTCCATTGTTGATCTGAGCTGGACCCTCAATGCTGTTCTGGGCTTCTTGGATGACCGCACTGGTTTGAGGTGCCATGTTCTCCTGATGTTCTCCATTTTGAGCTGTGTTGGTGTCAGTAGATTGCTTTGGTGTTGGTCCACGTGCTTTATTGCTATAAGAGCTTGGGCATTAAGAGTAAGTGTGGCCTCGTTCCATGGCACAAATTACATAGTTCTGTGTTTTTGCACTCTTTACCTTTATGCCCAAGCTCCCCGCACTTCCAACACTTCAAGACCTCACAGTCTTTCACTTGATGGTCTTGGGAACCACAGATGTAGCACCTCTGTACCTGACCAGGGTACGAGATCTTGCTGTTATATGGCCCCAAAGAGATCAAATTCAGTGAACCGAGATGTATAGTGAGCCGTTAGACTTATGATGATGTTGTAGAAATGACAGCAGGTAAAGAGCTAGGCTTTTAGCTGATGAAGTAATTTGACTAAGCCAAAATTAAGCTTTTTAGCCGTACTCTGGCTCAGAATGTAGTTATTGTGAGAACAAGACTTTAAAGAATGTCAAAGTAATCTGAGGGCAGGGCTATATAAGTGTAAGGAATTAAATAAAGAGAGAAATGAGCATTATAATAATTTAATGCTAGAATGTGTGGAATTACAAAGCAAACAACATCGAAATGCAGAAGATGAAGACGAATTATCTAAAATTAAATCAGAATTATTGCAGATGAATAATGAGATTTTTTTAAATGTACAGCTTCAAGCAGGTTTACATACCAACTTAACAGGAAATGCACAAAATGTAATCAAAAAACTAAATGAAAGGAGAGAAAATAAAAGAATCAGAGGAATAAAAGACGATCATGGTAACATTGTTGAGCTTATTAGGTCTAAATGCCAAGAAGCTTATAAGAAATTTCCAATTGATGAGGAAAAAATTACACAGTTTTTATCTTCTTGTCCAAAACTAAGTGGAGCAGATTTAAGTAATTTGACTAAAAATATAGAAAAGACAGAGATTCTCAGTGCAATTGAAAGTCTAAATGATGGGAAATCGCCGGGGCCAGACGGGCTGCCGGCCGAATTCTATAAAGCTTGCTCGTCTGAAATGAGTGACCTACTGATGGAGTATTTTAATGAAGGACTGAAAAAGGGAATGTTAAACGAGAGTTTTTATCAGGGTGTGGTGTCGCTGATCTATAAAAAAGGAGATCAGTATAATTTAGACAATTGGAGACAAATAAGTGTGATGAATATGGATTATAAGATTTTAGCCAAAGTCTTAATGAATCGAATGAGCGGGTTTTTAAATAGAATAATTGAATTTGAGCAAACGTGTGCAATAAAAGGTCGTTTTATGATTGATAATTTATGCATAGTTAGGGACCTCATTTCAGACGAGCAAACTGAGGACTTCTGTCTAATCAGTCTGGACAAGAAAAAGGCTTTTGATTTTGTTTCGAGGGAGTACTTGTGGCAAGTGATGGAGTGCTATGGCTTTCCTCTAAAATTCATAGATATGGTGAAAGTCTTGTATAAGAAATCAATAGTTCAGATTAATGTAAATGGAGTTTTAACAGAAAAGTTTGAGATTCACAGAGGGGTTAAACAGGGATGCACTCTATATCATGGCCATAAGTCCTCTTTTGAACAAGATCAAGCAGGACCCTCGTATTTCTGGGGTGACTAATAAATTGGGTGCACAGGTCAAAACCTCGGCTTATGCAGACGATATAACGGTGTTTATTAAAAGTCAGAGTGAATTTATTGTGGTATATGAACATTTTAAAAACTATGAAGAGGTCGCTGGGGCGAAACTAAACACAGATAAGACGGAGGGGATATGGCTGGGTGGAAATAAACCGCCTCACATGAGTTTAGACATGAAGGAAGAGGTTAAAATCTTAGGACTCTCAATTACAAGAGGAAGCTGTGCTGAGAATAATTGGAATAATAAAGAGGAAGAGATCAAAACAGAGCTGGAACAATGGAAAGTCTCAAATTATAAAACCAAGATTCAAATCATTAAAACTTTTGTTTTGTCCAAATTGCTGTTCTTAGCCACAGTTTCCCCCCCCCAACGATAAATGTATCATGAGGCTAAATAAAATGTGTGTGCGATTCATTTGGGGCACCTCAAGGGAAGTCACGAAAAGGGAAATTTTATATAAATCTAAAACTTTAGGAGGTCTTGGTGCAATGGACATTGGTTCAAAACTTAAAATAGCTTATTGTAAAATGGTAGCACAGGCAATAAAGAGAGGTGCAGTGTGGGTGGGGGACACTAGAAGTTGGGGGAAAAAGAAAGGAAAGGCAAGAAAAAATGGTCCATACCACAAATTAATATATGGCGATTTTTCTTTTAAATATGCAAAGCTTAAGATTAACTGGTGTAACTTTTCTAGTAAAAAGATCTATAACGTTATAAGCGAACACATCTATGGAGGTCTCTATCAACACAAACATCTCAACGAAGCAGAGAGTAAAATATGTATTAGAAACATCCAATCAACGCACATCTCTGAGAACATGAGGGACATAGCATGGCTAATCAGTGTGGGTCGATTAGCTGTACGATGTGTTGTTAAGTGGAGCTGCTACGTTACCACGAAACTATGTCCAGCTGCTAACTGTGATGAAGATGAGACTATTGAACATCTGTTAATTCATTGTGAACGATCTGTGGATGTGTGGAAAAGACTAAAAGCTCTGGGTGTTAAATTCAATATAAATGTTAAGTCTATAATGTTTGGAAATTTTGAGGAAAGATTGTCAAAGAATGTTAAAGATTTTTATTGGTTGATTGTTTGTATTACCAACTGTAAACTGTGGAAAAAGATGCAAATGGTAATACAACAGACGCAAATTCCTGCAGAAGTTGTTTTTAAACAGATAACTTTTGAACTGAAACGACTGCGAACAATGGACAGAAAATCAAAATATCCCTGGGCTCTGCTGGACTTATAATTTTCTCATTAAAATTAATTGTAAGTTTGTGTATTATTGTATTTTAGATGGATTTGTTGTGTTTGTGTGTACCATGGTATTCATATGACTTTGTATTGTTCTTTTGATATGTATGTAATTGAAATATTTAATAAAGTTTATTTAAAAAAGCAAATATCCAGGCTGTACTGCTGCCCAAGACAGAGAAAGGCAGTCAAGACCAAGTAAATTGCTAAATTGTAAATAACCAAAGGCTCTTAGCCACCCACTTAAGCAAAAACAGTGCAGTTTTCTTTTTCTAATTCTTCTCCTATAAAAAAAAAGTTCGAATGATTGTTGCAGGTTATTGTGTGTACATTAGAATGAAATTAAAGAATCATAGCATCACCACGTCCCACGATTGCATACTGAATAAAATTTAAAAGCTCTTATTCTACCCGAACACAATGCGAATAAACCTATATGAACATCTGTATAACTACGGGATTGAAGGTGAAATGGCAGGCGTGTAATAATGAATGAACCAAAAATCTGAGTAACGTTACAAAGGACGTTTAAAAAAAAAAATAAGAATGTGGTACAGGAGCCCGCCAAAGCGTTGGGGTACTGTCTTGTGATTTGAAAATGTTGGCGCGGTAGAAGACGCCCAATAACGTTTAGCCAACGCCTGGGGAGGCGGGCACATTCAAGACGCCCAATACCGTTTAGTCAACGCGTGGGGAGCCGTCCAAAGGGAGGCGTGCACATTCAAGACGCCCAATGAGCGTTTAGTCAACGCGTGGGGAGCCGTCCAATGGAAGGCGGGCACATTCAAGACGCCCAATGAGCGTTTAGTCAACGCGTGGAGAGCCGTCAAATGGGAGGCCGGCACTTTCAAGATGCACAATGAGCGGCGAGCAGCTCGAACGCTTAAAAGGGGCCGCATTATGTGTGTAAACTTATTCTATATTTTCGGTCAAGAAGAGTAGAGTTTGATATCATGGCAAGAACCAAACAGACCGCGCGTAAGTCTACTGGTGGCAAAGCCCCGAGGAAGCAGCTGGCTACTAAGGCTGCTCGTAAGAGCGCCCCGGCTACCGGCGGCGTCAAGAAGCCTCACCGTTACAGGCCCGGCACCGTGGCTCTGAGGGAGATCCGCCGTTACCAGAAATCTACAGAGCTGCTGATCCGTAAGCTGCCCTTCCAGCGCCTGGTACGTGAGATCGCTCAGGATTTCAAGACCGATCTTCGCTTCCAGAGCTCTGCCGTCATGGCCTTGCAGGAGGCTAGCGAGGCGTACTTGGTGGGTCTGTTCGAGGACACTAATCTGTGCGCCATCCACGCCAAGAGAGTCACCATCATGCCTAAGGACATCCAGCTGGCCCGCCGTATCCGCGGAGAGCGCGCTTAAATTAAACCGAACGGTCATAGGTTTTTCCCAAAACATTCCCAAGGCTCTTTTAAGAGCCACCTAAGTGTTCCAGTCCAAAAGAGCAACTGTACTAGTAACGTCAGAGAATAGGTCTGTGTGAGGAGCGCTCGTGTGACGCCGCTGATATTCATTCCGGCTCTGAGCAGTGTTTAGTGCATACATTAATAGCTTGAATGAGTAGTGTCACATGCCGGTATTACACAGCTTTCTGCTCAGTATTTATCAAGCAATACGAACACCAAAAAATACTTCGATGTGTGTACCAAGACATTTTGTGAAGTAAGGTAGGTAATTTGGAACCTTAAAAATTAGCAACAGAATAAATTTACATACACATCTATGGGGCTGTGTATAGGCGTTTATACACTTACTTGCTTTATTTTAGTATATAACGTAAAAATACCCACACAATAGAGTAATTGGGACTAAGACATCGCGCGGGAAAATGAACCGGAACCCAGAATTAAAGTAACATGTTCTCCCCACTTCTCTTAAAAGAGCCGTTGGGTTTGATGAAGTCTTCGTCGTTTCTTACTTGGAGCTCGTGTACTTGGTGACGGCCTTGGTGCCCTCGGACACGGCGTGCTTGGCCAGCTCACCGGGAAGAAGCAGGCGCACGGCGGTCTGGATCTCCCGGGAGGTGATGGTGGAGCGTTTGTTGTTATGAGCCAAACGGGACGACTCACCGGCGATGCGCTCGAAGATGTCGTTGACGAACGAGTTCATGATGCCCATCGCCTTGGAGGAAATGCCGGTGTCGGGGTGGACCTGCTTCAACACCTTGTACACGTAGATGGCATAGCTCTCCTTCCTGGACTTTCTGCGCTTTTTTCCTCCCTTACCAGCCGTCTTAGTCACGGCTTTCTTGGATCCCTTCTTCGGAGCGGACTTGGCGGGTTCAGGCATGACTATAGCTTCTTCGAGTAAAACTGAAGAATAAGGAGGGGCGCCCGGCACCGGCTTATCTAGTCTCTGCTGTATGAAATGATGTGGTTTGGTTGTTGTAATTACTCTAAAATTAATGTCATTTCACTCCCATTTTATTTACGCAGCCTCACAAACACAGTAATTCAAGATGTCATTATTTCCACATATGTAAATATCTCCTATTCTACTAACTTGCAGGTTAACATTTTGACCACACGATGGCATCCAAGCTCCATCGATGTCATATCGCTCAGCCCAGAACACCTGAGGCGGTCTTTCTGCAGTGTTTTCGCTTCTCTGATCAGCTAGTATATCAGCTACTATGTAGCTAGTATAAGTTTAGTTCCAATGTGTCAAACACAAGGCCCGCGGGCTAAGTTAGGCCTGTGAATGTCGCCTCACAGCAAGAATGGCCTGGGTTCGATTCCCGGCCGGGTGACCAGGGTCATTTCTGTGTGGAGTTTGCCTGTTCTCCCCGTGTCTGCGTGGGTTTCCTCTGGGTACTCCGGTTTCCTCCCACAGTCCAAAGACATGCAGTCAGGCTGATTGGACATCAAGGTGTGTGTGTGTGTGGGATTGTGTATGTCTGTCTGTCTGCCCTGCGATGGACTGGCGACCTGTCCAGGGTGTATCCTGCCTTCCGCCCAATGACAGCTGGGATAGGCTCCAGCACCCCACCGCGACCCAGAAGGATAAGAGGTTTCGATGATGTATGTATGTATGTATGTATTCTTATTAGCCTGTTTCACGCTGAGATGAACTACAGTCCCCAGCATGCACTGCAACATAGTGTGCGTTCTGACTCCCTTCCCTCAGGAACAATATCTGGGCCAGCACACATAGAAAAGACCCCTGGTGTCTAGTTCGAGCTGCGACGGCGTTTTGAAGAATAAAGTCGTAATACTTCGAGAAAAAGCCGTAGAATTACGACGTTAAAGTGGGAAATTACCGGGAGAAGTCGCAATATTGTCGCCAGAGTGTTTGCAAAAGTAAAGCAGCAACTTCCTCGTGTTAAAATGAGGGTGGTGAGAAGTTGGTGGATTACTCTCGTATCGATTTCTCCTATAAAGAAAGTCTCCCTGTCTCTCCTGCACATCAGCACCAGATGGTTATTAGTATAAGAAACGGCTGAGCAGGAAACCGTGTTTATTTAGAATAAAGAGCCAGACGGACTCGGAGGATATTTTCTCTGTTGTTGAAGAACTCCAGGCAGTGGCTGCCTACACGGCTGTCGGGGGCTATATCTCCGCTCCATTTGAAGAGAGCATGCAGTTTCACAGGAGACAGAATGATAATCAAAATGATCCATCCTGAAGAAGAGAAACTGCTGCGCCCTCGCGTCAACCAAAACCCCAAATTATGGCAGACACCCCATCCCCCCACCGCCCCCACACACCTAGCCTACGTTATCCTCATTCTGTCCATTCTGGCACCAATTCTATGATAAATCTTCCAGTTTTCAAATCATGTGTTATTTAATGAAGCCAACTGACCGATGTGGACATCATTTTATACATTCTTAGAGCATCCTCAAGACCAGGGCCGGATCATGGATTCACGAGGCCCTGGGAAAATAAAAAATAACCCAGTAAACATTTGGCCGTTGAAACAACGTTGAAATCACGTACATAAATGCTATTTAATTTACGTTTTCTTATGGTTGAAAATGAACGTTAAAAAAAGACGTCCAAGCTTAACTGTTGAAAAGACAACCAAAAAAGTCACAGTAACAACGTCATTTTCAGGTGTTCTAAGGCCTTGGAAAAAATTATAAATTATAAATGAAAAGACACTGAAAAGTCATCCAAAATTAATTTCCACTAGTACATTCTCAAAAAAGATAACACTTTACCATGAATCCTATATAGAACCATTTCATGCTTAATACACTGTACAATAGAAGAACCTTTTTTGGTGCTATATAGAATGAATTTTTTGTATAGAACCATATACAACACATTATCTGTCAATGTGAAGAAACTTTTCACCATGCAAAAAAACTTCCTGTAGTTAACTAACAATTTTGATTCCAATGTAAACATCAAACAAACTTTGTTAAATGGAAACTTGATAACCTGTAGTTATTCTTAATTTCATTCGTGGAACATAAAACTGGACCATGAACTTCGTCAGGACTATGACAAAGATCCTATGCATCAATTCAGAAAGAATTTTCACCTTTGAACCATAAGCTGTGTCAGTATTGTATATGATTTTCAATGTTTTAATGTAAAGGAAATCAAGGTAATTATTTAACAAGACAAAATCTTGCATTTTCATTTCTGAGAAGTCAAACAAGAAAAGAAAAAAAAAACAAAGATAAAAGCTCTGCAGGGGGCATGCTTGAGGTGATCGGCCACAGCAGAATCCATCTCATGAGCTGTGGCTTTGTTGTTCCACTTCAGAACTGCAGCTAACATAAAACACAAACAAGACTGTTACAATTAATGTACACACAAAGCATTAAAATCTCCTGACAAAAACAGAGATCTGTGGAAGGTGAAAGCCATTCTAACATCATACTTATTACTTATTTAGTCTTACTTATCAATTAATAATCACAATGCCACAAGGCCTTTGACAGCTTTTAATTCACATATATTTAAACCTTTCAAATCTGAAATATGTTCCCATATAATATACATAATATTTTCCTGTCTGCAATGTAGCCAGTAAGGAGTCAACTGATAATTACAAATCTATTTTTTAGTTATTTTTAAATGTTTATTTCAGTGGGCTTCTAAACAACTGCGAAGTAGTGATGTTGTGATATGTTCTTTTAAATGCAAAGGGCTCGAGCTTATCTCTAATTTTATATACTGTCTCTAATTTTATATATTCTCCTAAGACCCATGAGATTTCTAAACTCTATACTAGACTGCTGGGAACTGAAAAGCCTCCCTCTTATTTTGGTCAGTGTTTATCTGTTAAAGGAATAAAGCACAGTCCAAAAAAGGAACTGGGTAGTAAATAGTACAGAATGCAGCTATAAAGCTCAGTATTATTATCTGACTTTTTTAAATGCCTTACAAATTCCAATATCAAATTTGACAGAAATGACTACATTTAATGATTCTGCTTCTTTAGTTTAGTACGGGTGTTATGTGTAACATTGCTCAAACACTAGAAGACAATATTAACCCAGATGTTTTTCCATAAATACATCCCTAAAACTTCTCTCAACCCTCTCAAACCTCATCTAGGTCTCCATTAGAGTCAGCAGACTTGTCAGTGTAGTGTAGGACACAGAATGACTTACTTTGAACTATAGAAATTAACAAAACCTCCCCACTACAGCCATTTCAGGCAACACAAAGGCTGCACAGGACTGATGTTGGATAAGTAATTATGACTGTCATTTCCATAAAAACGATTCTAGCTCAGCAATCCTACTCCTGAGACAGTCACCCACGGCATTTACTCTGTGATGACGTTTTGTTCACTTTTATAGCCCACAGTATGTCATACTGTGTTGTACACCACATTGAGAAGTCTGTGCCACCTTAATAAAGACATGAAATGATTTAGGTGAATATTGACTTCTAGTGTTTGTTAGAAATGTTAGCTTCACAGCTCCATTGCTAAACTAAAGACACAAACCTTGGACACCAATTATGTCTTGGCCAAAAGACTACATTGGGGGTAAGCAGAAACATTTTTTAAATTTTATATTTTGCTGAACCATTCCTTTAAATAGGTTCTTAGTCATAAAATGAGTACGGCAACTGATAACCAGGAAACCTGTACATAAATTGTTAACACATTACATTCTATTCTGTTTGCGATAATACTTACTTTTTTAACTTGTGCACATTATTTGACTACGGCCAGTATGTTGTTGTGGCACACAGACAAATCCAGTCAGCTTCTGAAACAAATATTTGTTTGCAAAAGACGACAGTCAGCTACAGTTAATTCAGTAACTTATCTCTGACAGTACATTTTATTGTCTAATAAAACTCACTAATGATTTCAACGTGTGTAGCCAAAGCTAATGAACGAAGCATCAGAATGACTGCCACATTTTCCCCTGCCTACCAACATCTAGAAACACAGCTGTAGCTTCTGCAGCTCTACAAAAAAATAAGCTAACTAGCTAGCTAGCGTTAGCTACTCAAATTACCTAGCTGCGTAAGCTAACTACTTTCAAATTTGGTAAAATAATCATTAATTGTGGTACTTCGTTTTAAAGTAAAACTATCCTCCTGGCAGTTTTAAAATGAGCCTTGAGCTATTCATGTATGTGACTACAAGCTTAGGTAAATATAGCTAATGTAGCTCAATATAGCTAACGGCTAACTTTTACAAACGAGCCCGCGCAAAAATCCAAGATGAACACCGACGTAGACGTTATATGGAGTGCTACATATACAATATACAACTACTATTCACGTTAGAGTTTTACTAGAATGATTATGTTTCTAAGAAGTTATTAGCAAATACTTATACGGGCAACAACAGAAACAGCTCATGTCAGAAAACGTTGTGTTGTCGTTATGAATCAATAGTGTTAGCTAGCGAGCTTAGCTTTTATCAGGACCTTCACCATCAATCACACTGAATTAAGGGAAATAAAATGACCGCTACCTTCGTTAATAAGGTTTTAATTCGCTATATTCAGCCAATACAGACAAATCTTTAAATCTACGTTAATGACGTGCCCAACCTACCGCTATGTTTCACGTAGTTAGCACGACTGTTCAGCACTAGCTAACCTTAGCAGGACAGCTTCAGCAGCTGTATAAAATACTAACTAGCTAGCTAGCTGGCTAACATGTACCCTCTATTAATAAACAAACGATAATACTAGCTAATATTTAAAGATTCTTTGTAAGCTTAGTGACTCGTATATGGCAAAAGGTCTACCTAAAACGGCCAGCTAACGTTTACTCACCTGGATCAATGTGGACAGTAGCGCTGTGTGCTGTGGGCGGCTCGCTGAGGACTTTCTCAGACGAGGATCTTCCATAGGGGCAGTGATTGGTGTCCGTTCAGATGGATATCGCGTCTTTTTTTAACCCGTTTGATACATCCAACAAACCCACAGCGCTTAAATGACAGGACTGCCTTGCTGACAGTGGAAATGCAGCTGCAAACAGGATGGCAAATATTCATTTTGGCAGAGCTGAAGGACCGTGATGACGAAATACAATAAAATGGGCGTTTTTTTAATGTCAGAGTCAGACCATATTAAGATAATGAAAATGAACGGTCAAAAACGCTGCTTTTCTATAGTAAAAGTTTC